TACAGATTACATGCTTTAAGCTGGTTTTACAGCTAATGATAGAGAAGGAAAATAACCACAGAAATTGTAACACATAACAAATGAGCCTTATACTATGAAGCTTAATGAGCAACACAATATCAATGTTTATTCGTCAACTGTAACAACTGTTCAGTACAAACACAAGACTGAGGAGTATAGAGGAACTTTTGGTACTTTTAATTAAAATTTTATAAACCAAATATATATGTATATTGGTAAACTTCCAATTTTATAGGAGAAAGAATAGATAGAATTATCTTCTCAAATATGATAGTTTCGAATAGAAGGTGAAATTATGAGAGCATAAGTTAAGAATAATACAGGAAATAAAGCTAAATAAATATTGAAACTTCCTTGCATTTAAGAGTAAGTAGGCAATAAGAATAGAGTTTCCCTGAGTAATGTGGGGAAATGATAAGTCTGATCAACAAAAGTAAGATAGAAACTTAAAAAGAGTGGTATATAATTAGAATTAAGCTCTTGAAACTTCTTTTGCTCAAATTCCTGTGTATTTTACCAAAAAATAGGAGTACAGTCTGACAAACATTCTGAGGTAATAGTGTTTGATGAATGACAGATAAATGATAGATGATAGATGATAGATAGATAGATAGATAGATAGATAGATAGATAGATAGATTAATGATAGTGAGATGGTTGATAGATGATATATATGTGACAGATCAATAAATAGAACTCTGCATGATAGATAATAAAAATAGATGATATAAGATATATCTAGAGAGAAAGAAAGAGAGAAAAAACTGATTATTATCAAAGAAAGGGGCTATTTCTCATAATTAGGTTGAGGACAGAATAGAAATAGAAGTGTAACAAGAATAAGAGAAAAGAAGTCCATGAATTGGAGAGGGGAAAAAGGGAAGAAAGGGAAAGGCAGAAATGATATAATTATATTTGAATTTAAAATTAAAAAAAAAATATTTAGAAAAACAAAGATTAGACAACACAGACTAGGAATCAATGTCTGCCAAGAATTCTTGGGAAAATTGGGATACCAACCCAGCCACACAACCTTTGACCAACAGTCTGTAATGTCTATTGGATGTGCTGGGATAAGAGTGGTTCAGTGATTGTGGGAGTGGCCAACCAATGACTAGTCCAGTCCTAGACCCATGCCACAAGAGTGAATCCACTCCTGACACTGCATGGAGTTCATGGAGTTCCAAGACCCAGAGAATGGGTGGACCAGAGATCTAAAATAGAACCAAACACAATTGGAGAAAAAATGTCAATGTAATGATGCCTAACAATATTCTGCTACACTCATAAATTGGTGACTACCCCAGTTGTCATCAAAGAGCCTTCATCCAGTAACTTATGAAAACAGATGCAGAGACACACAGCGAACTACTAGCCTTCTCAGGGAATCCTGCGGAAGAAGGATTGTATGATCGAGAGGTGTCAAGGATATCACAAACAAACCTACAGAAACAACTAACCTAGTCTTATAGGAGCTAAGAGTCTGAAACAACAACCAGGGAGACTGCATGGGAACAACTTGGGCCACTGTGTATTCTCTAATAATCTTTTTGAGCACTGTGAAGATGTGTCTTTGACAATGAGACTTCTTATTGGATTAATAAAAAGCTAAACAGACATTAGCTAGGCAGGAAGCACAGGTGGAACATCCAAATACAGATGACACTGGGAAGAAGAAAGATGGGGTCATCAGGAGACACAGAGTGAGCAAGACATGATGGAAGATAAGTGAAGCCACAAGCCATGTGGCAATATGTAGATTAATAGAAATAGGTTAGCTTAAGTTTTAAGAGCTAGTTAGAAACAAACCTAAGCTATTGGCCAAACTTTCATAATTAATAAGAAGTCTCCGTATCATTATTTGGAAGCTGGTCAGCACGACAGAAAAATCCTCCTACAAGTGACATTTGATGTCCACAGCCATGAATATCAACATAAAACCAATAAAAAATCTTAAAGAAAGGTTCAAAAGACATAAAAATGGAGGCAAGCATGGCCTCCTAATCTCATCTCAACACAATACAGAGACATGTCTCCCAGCAGCTACCTGCAGGATGGAGCTAGCCACCAGCCACCATGTGCTAGCACCGTGCACTAATGCACTGGAGGCTGTCAGGGCAGTTTAAGATTTATTTCATGTGATCAGAGAACAATACAGATGCTCAATAAAGACAGATCCAGACACAAGAAACCTTTAAACAGGTTACAGTGTGTTTAAAAGTATACATAGGCTTGAGAAGGAAAGGAATAAAAAATAGCTTAAAATGATAAAGTCCTTAAAAATAAGAGTAAAGTAATATAAAAGAAAAAAGCCATGTAAAGATGGAAAATAAACAGAGAGTCTGGATGCTGTATGTTATTGTGTTGTCTTTAAATTTTTTTGAGTGCTGATGAATGAGCTATAGCTGTTTAGACACAAATTATAGAGGCTGCTGGATTAAATTAACTTACATATTTTTAAAAATGTCTTGACTTCAAAATGGAAGTTAAAAGATGTGTTGCTTTGGGGAAGAGGTTATGCTTTTGTTCCCACAGAAAACAAAAGGCCTGGATTCATTCAAGGTTGAAGATGACCAGGTTTGGTTGAGAAAGACCCCCTGAAAATACTGGCCAGCCTCACAAACTACTTTAGTCAACACTTATCCATTATCCTGATATTCTCAAGGTTCTCCCAAAGATTCCAGCATCCTCCAGACAATAGGAAGCAGTCTAGGGAAAACAACACCCACATTCCCAAAAGATGGGTTATTGATGTTTGTCTTTGTTTTGGGAGGAGGAGTAGGTTGCAAGTTGTTACTGGTCATGGTCAAGAAAATACTATTCAAAGGAGGTTCAGGGATCTCTTTAAGAAAAGAAAAAGGTGGGATATCGAAATGAGAGGAGAAAAGGGTAGATTATTGAATCTATTTTAATACCCAAAGCAACTATTAATCTCAAAATAATTTACATTGGTATGGATTTTGATTTATTCAAAAACAAATTTAAAGTTACTTTTGTTATACTGTAGGTATGTTTCTACTCTTGTTTGGGGTATTGTGCTTATGTAACTCATTTAAAATGCAATGCATAAATAAGAAATACATATTAATAGTCATCTATAATAACCATACTTATAGTCATGTTAGGTATGTGTTCAAGGTCATACAGAGATATATGTTAGATACATAGATAGTCTTCAAACATTGCAAAGACCTACAGAATATGGCATTTAAAATGTTTCATGACAGTGAGACACATCTGCTCCTGGCAGCATCAATTTACTCCAAAAATGCATGATGTGCATCGAAGAACCTCCATATGGAATTTACTTGTTGTGTGGCAAAAGATAGCCAAAATGGGCAGGAAACTGCCTTTGACTTAATGACTGACAATATGCTGTCCAAACTGGACAAGCAGGATACAAAAGAAAGTGACTGTCAAACTTTGCCAAGACGGGGTAGGACAATCCTTAAAAAATTGCTGCTTCACATACACACACAAAAAAAATCTGTCAGATATTATAGGCCTGTAGGCCAAAGATGAATGCTCTAACATTGCAGAGAAACTTTGAGTTACTGGCAGGCAGCAATATGTCTCTGTAATTTGGAAGTGGCTTGCATTGCACTTCCTTTCTACTCAGGTAATATTGAATCCTTCTGGGGTCTTTGTTAGAGTTAAAGACTGGATAATTATAGTTATAATTATCCTAAGTTGTGACAGAAGGTAAATTAGGTAAAGAACTTTGGACTCACCAAGATAGGATAAATTGTGGAGCATTTTCTCCAAAACTGCAAAATAAAAATGGATTGCGCATTGCACTGTGAATGTAATTCTTACCTGATAATTGTTCTTAATATATATAGTTTTACTGTGTTAGAGTATACACCCTTTCCTTTTTACTTAGACAAAAAGCCGGGGGGGGGGGTTGTTGAATAATCTTTCTGTATTCTGTGAAGATATATTCTTTGCCAAAACAACTTCTTATTGGTTTAACAAAAGTCTTAACAGCCATTAGCTAAGCAAGAGGTATAGGTGGAACAGCCAGACACAGAGGACACTGGGAAGAAGAAAGGCAGAGTCTCCAGGAGATGCAGAAGAAGCAAGAAATTCTAGAGACCAGGTAAAGCCATGAGACATATGACAGTGTCCAGGTTAATAGAAATGGGTTAATTTAAGTTGTAAGAGCTAGGTAGAAACAAGCCTAAGCTACTGGCCAAGCTTTCATAATTCAGAAGTCTCAGCATTATTACTGAGGAGCTGTTTGGTGGAACAGAAAAATCGGCCTACAGTTTTGTAGTTTGGTCTACTTGTGAGACTCCTAACAGTGGGAGCACAGGCTGCACCTAATGCTTTGGCTGGCTTTTGGGAACCTATTTTTCATACTGGGTTGCTTTGTCCAGCCTTATTGCAAGGTGCTTAGTCCTACAGCAAACTGATATGCCATAATTTGTTGTTACTCATGGGAGGCCTGTCCCTTTCTGAACAGAAACAGAGGAGGAGTGGACGGTGAGGAATGGTAGGTAGGGGAATGGATGGGAGAAGAGAGGGGATAACCTGCAGTTGGGATGTGAAATAAATAAATAAAATTTAATTAAAAAAAATAAATGCATGCAGTCCAGTACTGAGAAAACTGAGGCAGAATGATATTCAAGAACAACCTGGGTTGCATATAAAAACCTTGTCAGGGATTACCTGACTGAGACAGAGAGACAATGGGGGTAGAGAGAGAGATGGAGAGACAGATAGACACAGAGACAGAGATGGAGAATGTAAATATGAAGGGAGGGTATGGAATAATAATTAATGGAGGCAAGAAATAAAATACATAAGTAGCCCTAAGAACATGTCCACACCACACACAAATCCTCAATAATCTCCAAACCTTAAGAAAAAGTATGAGGTTGCCATTGGATAGCTACAGAGCACCACAGGAAGTTAGGTCCAACTGTAGCCATGTCTTATTAAGACTTCACATCTAGATAATAATTACAAGTACTTACATGTGTGTTGAAATATCTTTGTTTTCCTCAGTAAGTAGAGAATCTTCTGTTGAGCATGACTCCTTTTTAGAAAATAAAGGATTTATTTTCATGCTTTCCTCTTGACTCTTACTTTCTATTAAACTACTATCTCGTTTAGGAAAAGAAAAATAATTTTCAATATCCCAATGGCTTGCCTGAAAATGAAAATCTATTTTATTTTCATAAAATTTGTTTTCATGTATCACTTATGAGCATTTAACCTGTACAAGATTATTAAATAAACTCTCACTGACATTTACAAACAAAAATGACCAAGACCAGCTGTGATCTTAGTCTTGTCACATACACGTAATGTATATAACTTTTGCAAGGGTAGAACATGAGCTACATCATGAGAAAGAAACAAAACTTATAATGCAATTATAATGAACCACACAAGTGATTAGTGATTACCATTATACTTTTAGTACCTGAAGCAAAAGAAGATAAAACTATCAAAAAACATTTTGTCAAAATTTTTATAATAATTTTTTTCTACCATTTTTTTTCACCCAAATTTTTTAAAAAGGCCCCAGAAACAAATCCAGTTTTTAAATTTTCCAGGAAAAAATGGCTGTGGCAGTTTTTGTGGGCTTTGCCTATGATGATTGATATAGCAATGGCTCTGTGAGTTCATATGTGCCTCAGTCCTGTTGTGTTTGGGAAGCACTGTTTCCTTGGTATTTTCCACTCTCACTGGCTCTTGTAATCATTCTGCCTCTTGTTCTGCAGAGTTCCCTGAGCCAAATGGGTGGAATTGATGGAGACAACTCATTTATGATTGAGTGGTCCAAGGTTTCTTACTCTCTACACAGCTGTGGATTTCTGTATTTGTTCCCACCAACTGCAGAGCAAGCATCTCCGATGATGGGTAAGCAAGACTGATTTATAAGTATAGCAAAATGTTGTTAGGAGACTGAAACTGTAAACGAGCCACTGCAACTAAATGTTTTCTTTATAAGAGTTGCTGTTAAGACTATACTTTCAGGGATCATTTCTATAGTTCATTACTAGAGAAGTTTCTCTGAGAAAAACAATGAAAGCATGAAATTTGCAGGCAAATGGATGGAACTAGAAAAAATCATCCTGAGTGAGGTAACCCAAACCCAGAAAGACAGTCATGGTATGTACTCACTCATAAGTGGATTTTAGATATAAAATAAAGAACAATCAGACCACAACCCATAGAACCATAGAGGCTATATATATAGCATGGAGGTCCCTAGGACAACTGTGGCTTATAATAAATTTTGGTTTTACTCAATTATTGAAAAAAAATAGCCAAATGAATGGAAACACATGAACTATGAACCAAAGGCTGAGGGGCCCCCAGCTGGATCAGGCCCTCTGAATAGGTGAGACAGTTGATTGGCTTGATCAGTTTGGGAGGCAACTAGGCAGTGGTACCAGGTCCTGTGCTCATTGCATGAATTGGCTGTTTGAAACCTGGAGCTTATGCAGGGACACTTGGCTCAGTCTGGGAGGAAGGGACTGGACCTGCCTGGACTGAGTCTACCAGGTTGATCGCAGTCCTGGGGGAGGATTTGCCCTGGATGAGGTGGGAATGCGGGGTAGGCTGGGGGTAAGGGGAGGGGGTGGGAGGGGGGAGAATAGGGGAACCCATGGCTGATATGTAGAACTGAATGGTATTGGAAAATAAAAAAATAAATAAAAGGGTTGCTGTGATCACGGTGTCTCTCCATAGCTCCATAGTAATAAAAACCCTAATTAAGACAGTGTGTCACAGAACCATCAGGTGGGCTTGGTGTTCCAGCAATGCCACTCCCTATGGACCTATGGGGGCCATTTCATTCAGACCACCACATTCTACTATGTGGCCCTCATAGGTTTATAGTCATATCATAACGCAAAATGCATTTAGTCCAGCTTCAAAAGTTTCCATAGTCTTTAACAGTCTCAGCCCTGTTTAAAAGTCAAAAATCTCTTCTGAGACTCATAGCAACCTCTCAAACATAATCCCCTAAAAAATCAAAATCAAAAGCAGATCACATATATATACTATATAACGGCACATAATATATTTTACCATTCTAAAAGGGAGGAAAGGGAGCATAGTGAGGAAACACTGGACCAAAGCAAGACCATCTGGCAAACTCCAAATTCTGTGTCTTCATGTCTGATGTCAAACCCTCTTCAGATCTCCAACTTCTTAGAGCATTGTTGACGGCAACAGACCTATTCTTCTTAGGTTGGTTCCACACCCTGCTAGCAGCTTTCTTTATCAAGTATCCCGTGATTCTGGCATCTCCAATACCTTGGGGTCTCCAAGGCATTCCAAGCTTCACCTTCATAGATTCACACAATGGCCTCTCTGATCCTCTGTGCAGGGACACTCCTGACATAAGCCTGGCCTGAACAACTTTCCTTAGTTGCAGAGAGATTTCATAATGCATTTCTTGTATCCTTACCTCTAAATCTAGAACCATGTGGTTGGAGCTGCCAGGTTCTTCTGCTTGCCGGGGTTAGAACATGGCCTCCTCATTCAAATACATTGTCAACAGTTTTCTGGTTTTAATGGTTTCCTTCACTGTCTATGTTTGGCTGTCCTGGAACTCTCTGTAGACCAGGCTGGCCTTGAACTCAGAGATCTGCTGGCCTCTGCCATCCAATTGCTGGGATTAAAGGTATGCATCACCATGTTGAAGCCTTGGCTTTTCATTATTTTCTTTTCACTTTTCTTTAATTCCTTATCATAAGGTGGTAGCTCGCTGGGTGGGGTTACCACTGAGGCCACCACTCCCTTTATTCCACTTAACATCAGGCTTTTCTTTAATTGGTTTATACTTCCCTGGTGACCTTTTTCTCTTCAAACTCTACATTTTGAATTTTTCCTTGCCCAGCTTGCTGTTTTTCATTACAGATCTGCATGAGACTTGCCACTAATAACCACTGGACACAATCAGCACTAGGCTATTTTTAAAATACTTCTCCAAACTCAATCACTTTGTACTCTTCAACTCAGACTCAGCCTGACTTTTCAGACAAGGGCAAAGGCATCCACATTGTTTGACAAAATATCACAAGAAGGATTTCTAGGCCACATTCTGATATTCTTCTCCTCTGAAACCTCTTGAGCGGAGCCCCACAGTTCAAATCATCCTCAGCACCACTCTCTTCCATGCTCCTACTAGTATAGCCTATTAAGTCCCACTTAAAAGTGCCCAAATCCCCTTTCTAGTCCAAAGTCCCAAAGTGTTCCACATTCCTTCAAACAAAAACATTGTTCAGCCTATCACAGCACCACCCGAGTACTTGGTAGCAACTTCTGTCTCTGTTAGGGCTCTATTGCTGTGAAGAGACACCATGATCAGGGCAACGCCTACAAAGGAAAATATTTAATTGGGGCTGGCTTACAGTTCAGAGGTTTAGTCCATTATTTTCATGAAGGGAAGCATGGCAGCATGCAGGCAGACGTGGTGCTGGAGTGGTAGCTAAGTTCTACATCTAGATGGGCAGGCAGCAGAAAGAGAGTGTCACTGGACTTGGCTTGAGCTTTGGAAACCTCAGAGGCCACCCCAGTGACTCACTTCCTCCAACAAGCCCCCACCTTCAATAATGCCACTCCCATTGTGTCTTTGGGGGCCATTTTCTTTTTCCTTTATTTCTTTCTTTCTTTTTTTTTTTTTTTAATGCTGACAAGGTCAGATGTTTTCTTTTAAGCCAGATTGATTTTCCATGAGATTTTACTCTGTTGGGCATTGTTTTGGGATTCTTTTTTTTTTTTAAGAAAAAAAATTTTTCATTTTACATACCAATCAAAGATCCCTCTCTTCCCTCCTCCTGCCCCTCCAGTCTCCCCCTCCCAACCCACCCTCCTACAAACTATCACAGTATCTTCAATGTCTGAGATTCTCTCTCCCATCTCTTGAATTCTGTTGGGGTAGCTTGCCTCCGTAATTCCTATTCAAAATCATAAATATTTCATTTCCATAATTTCCTGTTTGTGCTTTCTTATTGCCTCTATTTTCATTTTCTGATCTCTAACAGATTAGTTTCCTTCAATTTTTTTTTATATTTTCTTGGGTTTCTTTAAGGGATTTATTCATTTTCTCTTTTTTTCTGAATTAACATTTTTTAAATTTTATAATTAATTTAATTTTACATATCAGCCATAGATTCCCCTGTCCTCCCTCCTCCTACCCTCCCTCCCCCCAATACACCCCCCATTTCCATCTCCTCCAGGGCAAGGACTCCCCTGGGGATTCAGCTCAGCCTGGTAGATTCAGTGGAGGCAGGTCCAGTCCCCTCTTCCCTTCACCCAGGCTGAGCAAAGTGTCCCAGCATAGGCCCCAGGAGATCTATCATCTTCATTTAGTTGGTTTTAAGGGTTTTTTTTTCCTTGTGCTTCAGCTATGTTGGAACACTCAGGGCTTGGTGTGGTAAAATAGCTGGGCTCAAGGACAAACATATTGTCCTGACTGTTATTGATTGTGTTTTTATACTGGCATCTAATCATATGGGTTTGGGATGATTATATGTCCAGGTATTGATTTCTGGGCTTCTCTTTGGTGGATGCTTTGTTCTTTGGTTTCTGTTTCCTCTCTGGATTTTTGGAGAGTATGATGCCTGTGTGTTGCCTGATTTCCTGGCCTGCTCAGCTGGTGAGTTCACAGGTAATACCTGTAGGTGTTCGAGGCTGGTATAGAGTCATGAGTAGGGGCATGAAGGCTAGGAGAGGATGTATGGTCTGTGGGATCCACAGGAGATGTGATCTGTTGCAGTTCTAGGGACAACCCTGATTTATTTAGTATAGAGAGCAGAGAAGGTCTGTGGGCAGCCTATCTGTTTTTCGGGTTGGTATGGCCTGTAGCTGAGCAGGAGATGACTGCTGGAGTTGGGGGCCAAGACACAGACACTAGTGGGGATAATGGGGTAAAAGGGGGATGGAGGATCCACAGGAGATGTGAGCAGGGGAGGCTCAGCTGATGATCTGTTGGAGCTCTAGGGATGAAACTCAGAAATTTTTTTCTAAAAAATCCTATAATAAATATGTTGAGCCATCAAGACCAACCAGCTTCCCATGTCACATTGAAGGGAGCAAGCAATCTCAGCCTAAGTGCTGCCATTTTGACTTCAGACTCCATTTTAGCTGTAGGGTGAAATAAAGTTCAGGTTCCAAAGCCATAGGGGAGCTGAGAACTTTCCGATGGCTCACCAACCTCCTCCCGAAACCACAGAAATAGTCATTATTTTTATATTTCATTCTTTAGAAACATTGTGGCTCTTCCTAACGACAGAAAGAACTAATGAATCTGATTGGTTGGACTGAGATGCTTGCACTGTATGTCAGTTAACAATGATGGAAAACACGAGGAAAATCCCTATTCTGACTTCTAGTTGGTAAAATTTGTGACTGTAACTTGGCAAAAAATGTTTACGATTTTGTGCTTATAAACCCCACTTCTGAGCTGGGTGGTGGTGGTGCACGCCTTTAATCCCAGCACTTAGAAGGCAAAGGCAGGTGAATCTCTATGAGTCTGAGGCCAGCCTGGGCTACAGAGTGAGTTCCAGGATAGGCTCCAAAAGCTACACAGAGAAACTCTGTCTCTAAATAAATAAATAAATAAATAAATAAATAAATAAATAAATAAATAAATAAACAAACCCCACTTCCGCCCCTGCTTGGGACTGTTTGGAGAAACAAGGCTCCTGAGTTCTTGTCTGCAGCCCTGATTGATCAGCGACCCGCTTATGTGGTGAATTATTCAAGTCTTTAGGACCCATATTATGTCTCTCTCCCTCTCTCCTTTCTCGTGGCACATAACAGGCCAGCTGTAAAAACATGTGCCTCCTGCCCTCCACGGGCTCCCCGCCTCCCCCCCCCACCCCCACCCCCACCCCCCGTGCCTTCATGGAGCTGGCTGCAGTTACTGGTAGTCAGGGAAAGTGAGAACAGAGTTACAGCTGCATCATGGCCCATCAGGCCATTCATAACTAGTAAACTGCAGACAGCGGAGGAGACTTCCATGGAGTTAGCATATTCACACTAACTGTCAAGTCAATTCTAGAATAACAAAGAAGGAATGTGCATACCTGACCAAAGATTAAGGAAGGAGCATTGCAAAGTCCAGTCACACAGATACTGCAGTCTACAGAGGAGGAAATGATAATCAAATGACCGCCTGGCTCACACATCTGCAAGGAACTTATCCGATCCTCATGAGGCTGAAATGATCTGAGCAAAGGTGGAGACTGGGTGATTTTGATCTCAGTGGAATTAGTACAATAGTCCTGAATGAAAAAAAAATCCAAATTTTAAAAAATTCAAATATTAAATGAATTGTTATTTAATGTCAATTTTTAAGAAGCCTGATGTGGAAATGGGAGGGTGCATTTAGAAATGATAACCTATGGGTCACCTTCAGGAGAGAGCTCATGATGATAAAGGTTAGAAACAAAGATATTAATGTTGATAAAATCTTGACACTGAAATGATGAACTTGAGAAAAGAGAACAGGAAAGAGAGAGGGGGTCAGAGACTAAAAAAATAAATAAAACGTAAGTCGGTATCTGATAGAGGGGAGCTTGGCCACATGGAGACACCTAATATTGCATCATCTTATTTTTTTTAATGAAGCAGGTAATTAGTTATTATGTCAATTACCTTAGGATGTTGGTAACAGTAGATGAAGGAGCAGCACACTAGATGGCATTGGAATTTGTTTTATAGAAGGTGTATCCAGCTGTTCATGTCTCAACAGTGCTACAGTGAAGTACTGATGAGACTGTACTTCTACACTGGACAGCTGATGTGGCTGCATATTAAGATTCGACACTGAGAAAATTCTGTTTTGTTTTGCTTTTATTTATTTATTTATTTTTTTGGTGTGTGTGTGTGTGTGTGTGTGTGTGTGTGTATACATGTGTATGTGGATTATTTTAAAACTGTCTCTGCTCAAACTATGCAAATCATTTCTTGTTTGTTTGTTTGTTTGTTTAAGATAGGGTTTCTCCATGTAGTCCGGGCTGTCCTGGAACTCTATCTGTAGACCAGGCTGGCTTCAAACTCATAGAGATCTGTCTGCCTCTGCCTCCTGAGTGCTGAGATTAAAGACATGCACCATCACTGCCAGGCAAATGGTTTCTTTAAAATAGTCAGGACAGAGCATTTCCTCCTTTATCTAGGAAACAGACAAGGTGTGATTCATAGCCAATACATTTTTTATTAGATGTTGTGCTGAAAAGTAATGATGATGCTGTGAGAATATTTTCCGTTTACCTCTATGTTCCAGATTTTCAACCATCCATCAGGATCTCCAGTGGCAAGGTATTGATTTTGTTTATCAGTAGACATAATAATGGATCCAACTCCAGCATGAGCCAAAAATTCAGCCAGAAGTTCTTTCTTGAATGTGTCCCAGAACCTGACATAACCAGATGCTCCACATGACACCAGGTTGGCACCTCCTGTTACACATGGGAAACCAAATTAGAAAAATAAACCCAGAAATCCCAAAGCAGCTTCTCCTACTGAATCACCCTGTTGGGAGCATATGAGAGTGGAGAGTCAGCATCACTGTGATCTATCCTGGGCACCATTCTGACCCTCCAAATTATAAAATGGCAATTATTCTATGAGGCACTTGCTGTAATATTAAGAATTAGTGTGGAGTATTAATGACACAGATTATATAAAATATTCCACTGTTTGGTTTTCTTTTACTCATTCATTACATTGATATTATTTGCATTAGACTTTAATAAAATTAATTTATTTCTTTTATAAATTTACAAAATACTAATTTAAACATTATGGTACTATTCTGAAAAAATATAAAACTTATTCTCCATAATAAGCCATTGGACACGTACACAAGAGGCAACAACCCTTATACATGCATGTATGCACTCATGTCAGTAAAGATTGATTCTCTACTGAGCAGCAAATCATGGATTCTATATATGAGCTCATTTTTAAATTTTTCATCAGGAATTTTATTATAAGCTCTTGTGGAACTCTTTTGTTGTTGTTAATAGATCTGGAACTAACCATTTATACTTTCCATTTACACAAAATGTTTTGTGAAAGTATTCCTCTGTGGTAAATTTATTATTCGATAAATCTGTAGATGGCTTTCCATTTTTACATAAGTGTACTGGCCATTAACAATAGAGTTAAGGTGGAAGTTATGGTATATCTGTTTCAGTAGGAACAATTTAGAAACCTAACATTGAGAAGAATTAGTTATCAGAAATGGAGTAATTTTAGGATAATGTTTCATATTCATAATGTGAGGATAACTATGTTTTGAACAATGACAGTTTTGTAATCAGTTTCAAATTCATCTTAAATGTTCAATTAGGTTTTTGAAACAAGTAGAGGTATAACTTTATTGATGGTGAATTTTATATAAATATCTCACAGGTTTTCCAGTTGAAAATTCAATGTGGAAAAGTGATTATACAAACTATGGCTCATATGTGTTCATTTCTTTTTCCAAACATATAAAATGCTCATATCTATCTAGATCCCTAATGTTACACAGACACAAAAATAATTCTCAAAATATAATTTAGGTGACAATTCAATGAATCTTCTCTATGTTAGATTTTGTAGAACAAGATGTAAGCTGCATTCAGTTCATGTTACAAAAGTAGGTACATTGTAATTTTTTTTTTACACTAGCAGCTCACCACAAATAGTCACAGGGTATCACCAATGCTAGTATTTCTCTTCACAAAAATTCAAATGGGACTCTGACCTATTATAGTGAATAAAAATCAAGTAGCAAAGAAGGGCCAAACATCCCCAAAGAATATTCAGGACGTGAACCAGGTTGGTATAGGCAGTCCATTCAAACCTCCCAGTTGAGTCCAATCTCTAACCTCCTCAGTATAGTACCTCTTCAATGCAGTAACAGATATGATTAGCTTTGATACATGTGGACCTACACATTGACTCACATATTTGTAACATGTATCTAACCATGCCCTCTGCCCTTCTAATACACCTACATGTCATGACTGAAACACTGGTATCAATTGTTTGCCATATGAAATAATTGTTGGAATTTTTCTTGCTTTCATCTCAAACTAGACAATGGGTAAATTATTAGGCAGATCCATTCACCACCTTCCCCAGAATAAGCTTCCTGTCCAAGTGCCCCTGGTTTTTCATGAACCAGGGCAAGCTTGATAGCTACACAAAGTCAAATAAAATAGATTGAACTTCCTTTATTGCTTCCTTTCTTAAATAGAAAAAGGCAAATACAAACATATATTTTACCTGTTACTGTATTGTTCTTTCTTGCTTCAAGGAAGCAAAGCTTCATAACAGCATTATTACCTTCTGTGTCACTCTCAAAATTTTGGGTAGCAAGGGTGGCCTGCTGTGCCAAGCACTGAGCTGAGCAGCTCCTCTTGGTATTAAGCTTTTGGGCTTCTGGGTCTGTGATGAAGGAAAGAACAGGATTCTTGGGGAAGAGAAACATCTTCTGTTCAAACCAGCATGCTTGAACAACAACAGACCATCTCCATCCTGGCCTTGGGTGAGATGATGTCATCAAGTCTCACAACACATATTGAGTCAGCTCCCTACTGACTCATATCACATATCAAGCCACCTACTATTCTCGTCTGCTACCTCAACTGAAAAGATTGCTTGATTTCATTTTTGCTCTGCATATGCCAGGCACACTTCCTGTGTTTTCCCTTGTGATGAATTAATTAGAACTGTATATCTTAGTCATTGTTAACATTCCAGAGGTCTCAATATAAATGTGTCACTAACAGCATGAAATTCTAGTTAATGCTTATCTTGCAAGAATTTAATGAACATGAAATCAAATGAATAAATATATGCATACTTAAGTAATCTTCTTTAATGGTTCCATTTGTTAGTGAATTACTCTGGAAAGGACATTCCTGATGGTAGTCTAATTATATAATTCTATCATCTTCAGGCCATATTATGAAAACTGAAAATGTTTATAACAGAATTAATTGATAGTTTTCAAATAGTTTTGCAAAAATCCCTATGAGAGATACCTTCAAGTTTTCAAAGTGAAAAATATAGTAATGTTCTGGGTGGGGTGATAAGTCAGTTGGTAAAGTGCTTGCCACACAGGCAGGAGTGCCTGAGTTCCATCTGCAGAACCCACTTTAAAGTGAAGGGTATTGTAACATGCACTTGGATCCCAGTGCTGATGGGGAGATGCAGACAGGTGGATCCCTGGGGTTGAATAGCCACAGTAGCTCAGTCTACTTCAAAAGTTCTAGACCAGTGAGAACCCTTGTCTGAAAAAAACAGAACAACATAGCAACTGAGGTGGAGAGCTCCTGAGGAATGGTGGGTGATTTTGTCCTCCAGTCTCCATTTGCCTGTGCACACACAGGTACTTAAATCAACACAGACACACATGCACAGACACATCCAAGAAGGAGAAGGAGGAATGTAACAATGCTCTCAATGTCTTTCACAAGTTGGGTATTGTGATTTGAATGAGAATGTCACCCACAGGCTCAAATGTTTAAATACTAGTTCCCAGTTGGTAGTGCTGTCTGGGAATAGCTTGGCTTTGCTGGAGGACTATGTCACTGGAGGCAAGCTTTGACTTTGAAGAGCTACATGCATTCCCATTTAATTTTCTGTTTCATGTTTGCAGTTGAAGATGTAAACCCTTGGCCTAGTGTTCTGTCACCCTGCCTCCACTTTGCCCTTATTTACTTAAATCCTCTAGAGTCATAAATGTAAATAATCTCTCTCTTCTATAAATTGCCTTTAACCTGTTGTTTTAGTGCAGCAATAGGAAAATAACCAATACAAGTATTGTTTCTTTCTCTGTCTTATTTCTCTATGTGTTTAGTGGTAGCCACAGTTACGATGCTCTAAATATAGACAGTACTTTCTTGAAGGCAAATGGAGAGAAAGAGGCAGAACTACACCATCTCCTTGGAATGTTGAGATTAATGAAGTTAGTTCTTTGTACATAAGGCAGGTCAAAGCTTTGTGTCAGTAACCAAATAATCCCTCAAAATCTTAAATTGTTAAATTGGTTTTCTTACTCCCAATAAATCACTCTTCAGCTTTTCATACACACACACACACACACACACTGCATCTAGTAGCCAGTACTTCAAAATGTGTTCTCTATGAGCTTACCCAATTGAGACAATAGTAACTAACTCGACCATAGGGAATGAAATAACTATTATCTAAAGAAACCAATCTAAAGAAAAACCTTTAGTTTCTAAAGAAACTAAGATAAAACATGAAAGGCAATTGTGGAGACACTTTACTGAAGTAAAAATATTCATGTGCTCTGCTAACTGATATAAAATATATTATACTCCTGTCTAATGCTCCTGACGAGTTTCTAAAGTGAGGAATAATTTATGATATCCAGGTGGCATAATATTTAATACAAGCTCCAGACTGAGGCTGAACAGCCAGTCAAGTAAGCAGAGTTCCCATTTTCCTACCAAAGGATACCCAAGATCACTCAAAGGCAATTCCGCAAGTTTTATTGGCTAAAATGAAACTAAATAAAAATGAGAGTCCTGCTCCCTACTGTCAATAATACAAAAATGCTGATTTAGCATAAAGAGAAAAGTGGAGTGCTAGATAATTTGTAAAGCCAAGGCAGTCTTAAGAGTCTTCTTACATTATCACTAATCCTTGGAGCTTACAGCCAGTCATCTATAAATCAGGTGTACCCAGCATAAGGGGCATACATAAACAGCCAGGCCTACTGTACTACAACACACCACAAGGTTTCAGTTTCAAATTTGCACTCACCTAATTTGGATGTTAACTGCCTCTGGTAATCAGGGTGAAGGACATGGTGAGCATTTTCGGTGCTGCTATTCCACAGAACAATTTCTCCATCATAGCTACCTGCAGGAGTCAGGGCAAAGAACATAAATTATCAGGTGATTGTATAGAAACATGCAAGCAGAGACAAAAGGAAGCCATTATCATTGTGGATCATATAAAATCTTGCAAATAGTAAGTGAAAGACCCTAACCCTTCAGGCTTACACCCCCCCCCAAGCCCCAGGAACTAAAAAGAAAACTAGTTCCAAGGGCAACCTGACTCAGCCATTACTCAACCACCCCTGTAACAATGTAACAACGTAAAAAGATTTCTGTTAAGAGATGTGCTCAACTGTGACTGGGATAGTTGCAGGTGTTCCAGGAAGGACCACTGTGACCTTTGTGTAAACTCCGCTCCCGCCCTGATACACCCCCCTTGAGGTTTCAGGAAGAATGTACATGCGGATGTGACTGTACCCACTCTGTGATCAGACCATGATCTTGTGAAACGAAATTGTATGGGAATTGTAATCTTATGGGTTTTGTGGGTTTTTCCTTTATAAGCCCTTATGGGGCTGCAGTAAGATGAGGCTCTTGCTCTTAGGAGCAGAGTTTGCCCTTCTATATAGAAGCTTAATAAAATCCTCATGCTGTTGCATCAACTGAACTGGAGTCTGGGTTCTTGGGGTGCCCACTTGAGACCCTAGATTTTGGGGTCTAACATAAGCATTCTCTATTTTTGGAGACAGAAACAAAAGGAAGCCATTATCAATGTGTATTATATAAAATCTTGTAGATAGTAGGTATTCTTCATTTTTGTAGACATGAGTAATAATGACACCTGATATATTATTAACTGTAGAATATTAATATTTATAAAGTAACCCATGTAGTTGGTGGATATGAGCCAATTAGCTATATTATTTTACTCTAATAAATCACTCTGAATAAAAGATCTGAAGTTAAACAGTTAGAGTCTGAGTCCAGGTTCTGCCAATTATTAGTTATGTATCATTACATATGATATTAACTCATCTTGATGCCAAAATGTTTTCATCTATAAGATTGGGTTAACCATTGTACTTATGTACTTATGTAGTAATTTTAAAAATGAAAAGTATGTCCAGTGGTGTTAAGCACTAGGCAGATATTGACAAAGTGTAAATTCTTAGAGTTCTGTTCCTACACTATTTGTGTAACAGAGAGAGTTCTTTGCATTTCTTTCATCTAATTTCTTTGTGAAATGTTTTCTCCAGCTCTACAATTCTCCCTACAGGAAGTCATTTGTTCCTCCTTTGTTTTGTTTTCATAAGAACAAGAGAAAAACTCAAAAAGAAAAAAATGATGACCAAGCCTGTGCTGTGGACAAGTCACATATCAGTGTCCAAATGGCACACTCGGTGGTCACTGAGGACAGTCTATTACTGAGCAGAGGGACAATGGCACGTGGGGAGCACAGAGCACAGCTGAGTTTGGGTGAGACATATAGATGGTGACTTCCTAAGATTTGGAAAGAGGAGAAAAAAACATATTAAGTTTTGTACTGTTCTGGACAGAGCACTCTACTTAGCTCAGAAACTGTTAGATAAGGGGGTGGATTCCAGCTCCCCACAGAAAGTCTACTACTATCTACTATGACTCCAAAATGCATTATTAGTCAAGTGCTTAGATTAACATTTTCCCTGTATAACTGAGGGCATTAGAATGAATTAGGAGTTAGATTATGCTAAAGAGTTAATTTGTTCCATGAAATACCTATGATGTTATCTAAGATAGATATAAAGGAGAGTTAAGATATTCTAATTAAGAAGGATTTGAGTGCCACCAAGGCATGATTCTTACCTTACTGCTTTGAAAAATGAACAATACAATCAAAGTTAGTGTTCGCTAATGAGTTTATTGTATGTCAACCACTATGTTAAAACATTATACTGGCTCTCTATACTTTAAAACAAGAATGTACCCAGACAGAACTATGACTTGAAGTTTAAATAAGTCACAATATCATCCATAGTTAATTAGCATAGCCAGTGTGTGAAATCAAAGATATAGCCATGGAAGCTGGCGGTCCTAACTACCATAGAAATAAGGACTTAGAGGAGCTATAAGATGGCTTCATTGGGAAATCTATTCACTTTTCAGTTGAGAAAAGTCTTTTTTGTTAAATTTACCCAAAGCTAACAAACTATCTCTAATCCATTGTCCAGAGAAGACTCAATTTACCTGTAGCAAGAGTTTGCGGGGGTAAAAATGCAGCACACAAGATGTCATCTTGATGATGGATTCCCCCTTTCCACTCTTCAGACTGGATGGAAAACTGATTGAAGTTCTGGGGTCGAAACACAGTAACTGCTCTGTAAAATGATATAGAATTTAGCTGTGAATTGAAAATCGGTACTGATATTGAGTAGCCATTATCCACTTGAATGGTGCAATTTGAAAAGTCTGAAAGACTATACCATCCAAAATGTTATCACCACTTGTCATCCATAATAAAGTAAGCTGCCCACTGCAGTTTCTTTAAAATTCTTACATGAAATCTCTGGTAAATTATAAATGCTTAATGTGGGAAGGTTAATTATGCTCCCATAACTGTTAAAACCAAGGATACATCCATTTATCAGATTAATTATGTTTCCAAGACTCTGAAATAAAATTTCCTCATATGAAACTACTAAGAGTTTTATGGCAATAATAACAAAACACTAGACTAGGTCTATGAACAAATATTGTCTGGTAGTTTAAATTAAATCAATATGGTTTCTTTAATCAAAGCTGCTTCTTAGGGTGTTTACATATAATCATCCCTATGATATTTTCCAGAATTACAGTAGCCATAGAATTCACTTTATCTTTAAAAGTTGCCATTTGAGAAAAGTGTTTGAAAATTGCCATCCACAAGAAGTATGAGGTATGGAAAACATAGAAATAACAGTTTTGGAGAGGTCAACCTTGAGGTACTGCTGGCCAATCTAAGTGTAGAGTATGGTGAAGATAGACAGTCTGGTGCCCAGGAGGGAATGAGAAAATGTAGATGACAGTTTATGGGAAAATCGGCACTGCCCTGTTCCCATTCAGTGTCTTGAGCTCTTGCTGACAACCACTATTAAGCCTCCCGTTCTTTTCATGGCTACCCTCTCTTCAAATGACCATTCATTACCATAGCTTGAGTCTCTCATTCTTCCTCCCCTCCCTGACATCTTTCTTCCTCCCCCACTTAATTGTCAAACCAATGTTCATCTTCACTTGTGAACCAGAAGCTGCTTTTCCTCCTTGAAATTCTTGCTTCCAGTGTTCATTTGCTATGAGCCTGGCCGTGGAGGCAGGCTCCACCCTCTCCCAGTTTGTCTCAAAGTGGCCTCCTAGACCCCCTGTCTCAGATGGGCTGCACACCCACGTATTCTGTGACATGGAGGAGTGGAGGACAGGAAACTAGCCCAAGAGGGAAAACAGGTAGACAGTAAACCATTTCCAGCAGATGTCACTCTTTTTTTTTAATCATGATATCCAAGTTCCTACAGTTGGGAAAAGAATCTGGAAGTCCAACCATGAGAAGCTTATCCATGGAGAAAATATTCAATTAGGAACTCAAACTGACTGCCTCACACTTCCCATTCCATTTCCCCTTGATGTTTTGAACACCGGATTCCACAACATTTTGTAACCTGCTTGTTTATCAATCATCTATATATTACTTGCTATTTATTCAAAACAAAAGGAATGACTATCATGGATCATGCTCCAGAAACAGAACACAGTACACAGTTCTTGCTTTTCTGCTTGCCCTCTTTATTATTCATTCCTGAGTCTCCGTTTTCTTGACCCTTCTTTCTCTCACCCTTTTGATCTTAACGTTCTATATTATCAGTTTCCCTTCTCTCTCTCTCTCTTCATTCAGAGATTCCATGTATCAGCATGGATTCTAATGTTGGTTCATACAAATGGCTCTCTATTGATCTTCATCCACAATGCTTACCAGGATTGGATGGTTTCAGTTTGCCAGTCAGAGGTTCTATACATATTGTCCTTCCATTGCTAACATATCTTAACACACAAAAAATCAAAAGTTGCCAGCATTTTTCCATACACTGTCCTGAATTCTAGAATTTAGTTTACAGGCCATTTTTATAGCGTCGCATGTACCATTTTCCCTCTGGTCACAAATACTTACATTTTACATCATGCAAATGTGACATAGTCATTCTTTCCATTTCCACTTTAAATGACCACTTAGCGCTTCCTAGCACAGAGCTCTCCACCCCTGGTCAACAACTGTAAGAGGTTCCCAACCCAGTCTCACTGCTGCTAAATCTACTCTCCCCAGATGAAATCCTCATCCTGACATTAGACTCACATTTACATTCTTGAGGGTTTAATATCACCTCATTCTTCAAGCAAGAATGTCTTAAACATTTAGAATCAGCCCCAAATGACTAAAACATTAAATGAAATGTGCTAAGTGCCCAAGCAGCATTGATTAACTGCCATGGGAGTCCAGAGCACAGATCATGGAGGTCCAGTTGAGGATTTATATTTACTATGTAGACCCTAAAATATATATATGGACATGGACATGGGAAAAAGAAGCATGCTAGGGAAAGGAGAGAAGACAACGAGAGATGAGGCTGAAGCCTTGCTTAAAAACACTAGCCGAGTGGTGGTGGTGCGCGCCTTTAATCCCAGCACTTGGAAGGCAGAAGTAGGTAGATCTCCATAAGTTCAAGGCCAGCCTGGTCTACAGTGTGATATCCAGGACAGGCTCTAAAGCTACACAGAGAAACCCTGTCTCGAAACAAAACAAAACAAACAAAAAAATACTTCCTGGGCTTCCATTTCTCACATTAAAAAATTCAAATGTGAAAGCCTGATTTTCCAGATCCAATAATATATAGACTTAATCTCCTTCTTGAGAATTGTTTCTCCCTATTCTTCTGTCATTGCCTCTTAGCAATGTGTGTGTGTGTGTGTGTGTGTGTGTGTGTGTGTGTGTGTGTATGTGTGTGTGTGTGTGCGCGCATGCGCACGCGCACACATTTTCAATGAGCTTTGGAGCAAGGTCATAAAAAGCTATGAAGTAATATTCTTTGCACAACATTGAAGAAATAAGATTTTATTAAAATAGAGATTATATAATAAATAAAGTACTATGCTCATCTGAATTGTACAAATAGATTACAAGGTTTCAAATCTATTGTTTTACAGGGAGGTTTAAAAATGTCAATCATATCCAGAGTTAAGTTACTGAAGAACATTATCTTGCCCAAACCGAAATCTTATTGTTCTATTTCCAGATTGTGGTTGGTATATTGTGCACCCCAATAAACTTATCTGGGGGTCAGAGAACAAAACACCCACTATATTAAACATAGAGGTTAGGCAGTGGTAGCACATGCCTTTAATCCTAGCATTCTGGAGGCAGAGATCCATCAGTATCTCTGTGAGTTCAAGACCACACTAGAAATAATCAGGCATAGTGACACACACCTGTAATCCCAGCACTTGAGATCGCATATCTTACTTGGGAAAGATACATGCCTTTAATCCCAGGAAGTGATGGCAGGAAGCAGAAAGGTAAACAAAACAAGGCATGAGGACCAGGAACTAGAAGCTTTTTAAGCTTTTGGGCTTTTATCAGCAGTTCAGCTGAGATCCATTCAGGTGAGGAGAGGACTCAGAGCCTTTCAGTCTGAGGATTCATGGAAACAGGATTGGCTGAGAAGATGGCAAGGTGAGGTCAGCTGTGGCTTGTTTGGTTTCTCTCATCTTTCAGCATTCACCCCAATATCGGGCTCCCATGTTTCTTATTTAATAAGACCTGTAGCTAGAGTTTTCCTGTCTTACCCACAGTCAGGACAAATCTTTGTC